AAAGCATAAAAGCAATACATATTAAATATCTCTAAAAAATAAAATTTTCTGGTGCCAGCCAGGTGGCAAAAAAATATAATTTAATTGTTTTTTAAAAAAAAGATTCCGAATTCCCTTAAATATTTTTTTTTAAAAAAATTATTTTTGTTATAAATATCTGAACTATAACCGTAACCGAACCGATATAATTATTTTTTGAAGGAGTAAAAAGAACCTTTATAAAAAACGGTTAAACCGGCTCAGTTTTTATATTTTAGAAATGGAAATAATTTGAATATCCAGAATTATATAAACGTGCTCTTATAGTGCTGGCTGTTCCCGCAACACAAATTTATGTAGAAAGGGCTTTTTGTCTTATCGTCACAACGAACAAAAGGGAATCCATTTATACTAGAAAATATATTACTTATAAGTTCAAATAATATATTTAAAAATGAGTTATTTTGAATCTTATATATTTTTTTTATATATAATTCATAGATGCTTATAATAAAAATAAATTATAAGATGGTGTTGCTTCAATAAAAAAAAATTTCTAACCTTAATGAACCTTTATAAACCTTTATAATTAGCTGAACCGAATGGAACCTTTATATAAATTTCTTCTCAAGAACCGTAACCAAAAGGTAACCATTATAATTTTTTATATACTAAACCATAACCAAGCTTAACCGTTATAAATAAGGTTCGGGTCCCTGCTTAAATGTTCAACGAAATGCCATATTGCATTGAATAATTGTTGCAATAATTCGGATTTTTTATAAATATGTTTTTTAAAACAAAAATGTTTTAACCTCATCCCTTTTCATTCATTATATTTCTTAATTTTATACTATTTACTTTTTTTTAAATTCTCTTATTAAATCCCTTATTTTGGCATTTTAATTATATGGTGCCAGCTGCAAAAAAAGAGAAGAAAAAATAATATATTTTAATATTTTTTAAAACAAAAATGTCTTTACCTCATCCCTTTTCATTTATTATATGCCTTAATTTTATACTATTTACTTTTTTTTAAATTCTCTTTTTTTGGCCTTTTATATATGGTGCCAGGCCAGCTGCAAAAAAAGAGAAGAAAAAGTAATTGTATTATTTTATTTTTTATTCATGAGGATTCGGAATATTTTTTAAATATTTTTAAAAAAGATTCCGAATAGTTGGGATTCCGAATCCCACATGATTCCATATCCCAATACGACATATATATTAGATTACCAATTTTGTATTAAAAAAACTTAAAGAAGCAGTTGATGTAAAAAAAATCATGAATAATTTTTTCGATAAAATTTTTTTATTTTTCCATTTATCCTATTAAATTAACGTTATTGTCATATAAATTGGACCTGAAAAATTTCGCAATTAACCGATTCGCAATTATAAATGTAATTTAACATAATTCCATAGTTACTTTTATCAAAATCGTGGAGTTTTTTCGCATTTAAAAGTGTTTACACTTAAGCGATATGCAATTATAAGGTTTTGACTGTATAAGAAATTATTATAATCAATAAAATTTTACAATTATAACAGTAATATTTTTGTACATCTATTAAGCTGGTTTCCTTTTCCTTATATTTACTAAGAGTTAACCAATTTTAAAATTAGATCACTTATGCTTATATTGTGAGAAATACAACCTGTGCAATTGGATTTTTTTCATTATCCCTTAGATAGTAAATCTATTAGATATAATTATTCTTTCTACAAACGGTTAAGTATTTGACAGAGTTATTAATTCACTTCTGTGGATTCAACCCTATGATTCTAATCTTTCTTTTCTGGGATCTGTGATTTGTCATAATAAATTAATACGAAATCTTGAAAGAATAAAAAAGATTTGCTTTCATTTCTAAAAATATATGTTAAAAATATAAAGAGTTGTTACCGATGCTTGGTAGGCCTGAAGATTCGTATGTCAAATGATAAAAGCCAAACATTTGGTATGTTAAAAATATAGAGTGTATCAAAATACCCAAATAATATAAATCATAACATCAACAAATTTATTTTTTAATTTAATCAGATTACAAAACTTCTTTTAACAAAAATAAAAAAATAACTCTTTTATAAAAATTTTCCTTTCCTTTTATGTCGCTCTACATTTATCTACCAAAATAAAAATTTATTTCTTTAAACACAAAAATAATAATCACTTTATATTTGAATATTAAACTAATCGTATTTTTTTTAATTTAAAACCAATGACATATATAATACCTAGACTGACGAATCCTCCATTAAAATGCATTTTTAAGCGTCGTTGAATGCAAATCAGCTGGACCCGCCATTTTGGAAACACATATAGTAATTATTCTCATGTTAAAAACTACTATTAAATTGATCACTTTCCTTATTATCTCGATGATCTGGTAATTCTTAAATAAAGTTTGCATCAGATATAGGAATGAATTAGGCTCTCGTTTAAAATTTTAATAATGATTAGTGTAACCAAGATGGCATCTCCAGCTGATTTGCATTGATGTACACTTTTAATGAATGAATCGTCAGTCAAGGTATTATATGTCATTGTTTAAAACATCCAAATAATTATTCAAATTTTCCTTTAGTCACTACTTCCAACATAAAGAATTACTATCATTGCTATAATTAAGCTGGAATCTTCAATTGTATTTAATAAGTGATAATAATTGCTAAAAATTGGTTTATATGATAAAAATATAAAGAATTATTAACTTTACTTTTTTTTATATCTTTAAAAAATATATTTGTTCGGAGTGTAATTATTCAAATATCTACTTATTTTATTATCTTCATAAAACTGCAATGATTTATGTCGTATGAGCAAGATAATAATATAACATTTTTTCCTTGCCAATAGGCGTATGGCGCACGACTATTATTTTCTTTTGATAAGGTAGTTAATAAAGTTATACTTTTGATAAAGATTATAATAAAATAAAATGTTATAAATGTGGGTTTAATCATAATCGGGAAGAAAGATGTCCAGCCACAAACGCGGAACATGTAAAAAAATTGGTCATTATCAAAGAATTCAATTAATATAAGAGTGGCATCAAGTGATTCATACATAGAAGATTTATCAAAATCGACAGAATCGAGCAAAGTTAACAATTAATGGGTTTCATTTTGAATTGATTTTGACACTGACGTGAAGGCGTCATTGATCGGAGTTGATATATGGACATGGACAAGTATTAGACGATCAAAAATTAAGCCACTTACCCATTCATCGCATTTGGTGACCATCCGCTATATGTCAAAATCGAGACCATGATTATTAAGGTTGGATTAATGAATACAAATGGAGTATTTATTTTTGGATTATAATGGATGTAGCGTTCAATTTAAGATTGTCTCATTAAGTTATAATAAAACAAGTGTGGAATAAGGATGTTCTGTTATTTATACCTATCAAAAACAACGAATCTCGCAATGACTAGTTGCGTCGCAGTTAGAATTCAAGAATTGGTTACCAACATCAAGCAATTTTGCACATATACGTGATTTTGTGGTACGAATACATTTAAAGGATACACCTGTAACATGATCGTTTCAAATAGGGTAAATTTCCCCCTATTAAAGAAATTGAAATAGAATTAAACCGACTAGTAACTGCGGAAATTATCGAAAAGATTGATTCGAATACAACTATGGCATAGTCGTTAACTTTAATGCACAAGTGTAATGATGATATTCAATTTTCGCTGATTCTAAAGTTACGCCCAATCTGTTGAGATCATCATGTTATTTCTATCTTAGATAATTTGTTAAAGAAAATTTAATGATAAATTTACCATGACAGATCTCAAGGATACGTATTTACAGATGCAAGTATTAAAGTCTCAGGAGTTTCTAACGATATTGACTCATATGGAGTATTTTCGTTATCGATGAATGTCTTTTGGATTGACAAGCCAGCTGTTAAAAGATTGTAAAATTAGCGGGGCATACTTAGATAATGTGATTATTTCTGGTTAAAATAATAAAGAGCACATAAAAAAATTGTGAATTGTGTTAGAAAGCAGATGGTTGGTCTTAAGACGAAATTGAAGAAAGTTTGATTTTTACAAAGATCCATATCATTTAGAGGATTATTGACAAATCCTGCACACATCCTAATCTAGAAAAAGTTAAGGTTAACAGGAATGTACCACCAAGGTATTTATATTGAAGTTTTAACATGATTTTTTTTTGTTAAACGATTTATATATAAGCAGAGAAAAACGGGATTATAGACGTACAAAATGTAATATTTAAAGTTTTAAAATAATTATTTTTTTGTATTTTATATATGTAACTTTATTTTATCTCGTATTTACATGATTCAAAATACGTATTTACATGATTCAAAATACGTATTTACATGATTCAAAATAAAAGGATCAACCAATAAATTAGCTATTAACCCCGATTTTCTTCGATGAATTATCATGAACGTATTGTTCAAAATCTATATAGTATAGTAGCGATATTGTATTAACTAGCCGGAAAGTACCGGTAGACAAAAGAACAAGATTCCTTTAAGGAAGTTAAAAAATTATTGTCATTCAAGGAAACGTTAATTCTTTATATCTAACTATTAAGCAAACCTGAAGATTTTGGTTATAGATGCCATAAAGGTTAGGACATCTTTAAACGAAATCTCGAGGTTTAGGCAATATTTTTTTCTGGCTAAAATATAGTTAGCCTTTTTTAAAAATCAGCTCAAATTGAGCCGTTTAACAACAATAAATACATTATTTAATTATACAAAACTATCTTATTCAATATTTTTCAAAAGATTATAAGATTTGGAAGAAATCATGAAAGATATTGTATCGCAAATTCGAAAAGTAAAGTATCGACTAAGAATTTTACGAAATATATAAGATTAGTGAAGCGAAACCAAAGTTATATGCATTTAAGATTTTGGCTTATAAAATTTGATGCGTACAACATTTTTTATTATAACTTTATTTTACTTTAGAACATAAGTGAATAAATAAAATGACTCCTTTAATATTAAAATATATTTATACAATAAAGTAAAATAATTCAAAGTCTTTTTAATAAAGCTTTTTGATGTTATAATCAATGTGGGGGAAAAAAATTATTGTTCAGAGAAGAAAATCAATATATTATGTGTTATACGTGAAATTAATAAGAATGTTTTTTAGAAAAAATTAAAATTTACAAGCTCCAAAAATAAATATAAAATATGTTATTTTAAAAAAATAATCTGGTTTATTTAACGTTTTTCTTAAAAAAAACTAATTATTTATTACAGAATAATTCATATAAAGTGTCCAACAATAAATAATAATCAATATATATTTTTTAAAAGAAGGTAACCAAAAATATTACAATATTTATCACTATAAAAAACAAATATCGTGGGAGGGACAGGGAATGATTAAATTATATAATTAACACACCAAATCTTAAGCCGGGTACAAACTGAACGAAATTCAAGAAAATTTTACGGCGAAATAATTTTTAGGTTGTTATTGTCAACAGCTGCTCTTAGCTTGTGGTTGGTTAGCTTTAAAAGCTTATATTTTAAAAATAAATCTTTTAGGGGCTAATAAGGAGCTGGCAACGACATAAAACCATGTGACGCTATAAATAATTCCTTTTTATTTAAAAAACAATAGAATAGAAATATGTTAAATCATGCGACTGTGACACCAATTATTTTAAGGTTAATGATACGATACTACCTAAACTGATGATTCGTTGATTTAAATATGTATAAATATAAATCGCTGGTCATATGCCATTTTGGTTTTCCTGTAAAAAATATCAGAGTTCCAGATGGTGTATAAAATAAATTTATACAAGAAACCGAAATGGCGTGCCACCTGCTGATTTCTATTCAACGATGCTTCGTGATACATTTTTACTGATCTAATCGTCAATCCTAGGTAAGCATCATGCCATAAATTTAAATTTAATCAAAAATATATAATCGAAATAATCCTAATAAATTTTTAATAAATTATGTAGTTATCAATATATCTAAGTTTCGTCAACTTCGCCCACATATATATATAAAAAAAAGAATAATCGTTTACAAATTATTTCTGGAATTTTGTGAAAGAATAATATTAATTAACATATTAATTCAATCTACAAAAATTTTTAGGCATCAGATGAACACATCGCCCCTGGCTCATATAAAAGTTTAGGGGGGGATTATAACCGTAAATTAAAAACATATTAGGAAAAAGAATCAGTTTGGCTAATAAATTTGTTTACTAAAAATTATGATGGTATTTCTATTTAAAGCTATTCACGCGTACCACAAAAAAAAAGAATGATAAATAGTCTTTCCATTCAAAAAAATAATAAAGTGGTTGATGTATTTCAATATCTAGCGGCGGTTCCGTAGCTAGAATCGCCACCTGAAGGTTGCTGCATTGCGGAAGTCGCCATGTTCCAACCAGCTTGCCTAACCGTGGGATTGGAAATAAAACCGGAAGTGAATTCCTGTTGAGCTTTCGCAAAACTAGCGCCGGTACTCCTGTATAAGCGATGAACCTTTTAGGGGAGATATTAAATAAAATATTTATTATATAATAGCATTTTACCTGTGAAATTCTCCTTAATTAAAGTTTTGGTTTTTTTTTAAAATCATCGACAGAAGAAAATATATAAAATGGCGAGTGCACACGCTCTTTTTTTTAAAAGGTTAAACAAAAATTAGCATATTATATAGTACATATAAGTTTTTAAGATTATTATCGTTTGTCTCATTTAAAGGAAGTCAACTTTATAATATTAATCTATTTTTCCTAAATTATTTTATGAAAAAAATTAATCTTCTCTCCCTTTTTTTCCATCTTTTCTATAATATAAATATTAATTTTTAAAAAAATAATTGCGGGCCAATACATACCCTGATGAGGAGTATAAATCCTAGGGTAGCTATGGCTGTAAAACCGGAGGCGACCAAAAACATGAAGGTAGCTGCAGCTTTGTCGTGCCTCATATGGCCCATAGAATTAACCCAACCACTAATATATTTTTTTTTTCAAAAAATAAATAATAAAATCTCCGGTCATCAAATTTCGTATATTTTTTAGATCCCCACCCATATTTTTTTATTTGCATATTAACAGCACTTTCCCCCTTAGTTCTCTTTTAGAGTCTACATCAGACATATTTTTTTCGGCTCTGGCTTGATCCAAGAAAATAAAAATTTTTAGCTGATCCAACCATTTTTTTCCCTAAAGAGCATAGTCCAATCCGATTTCTTAAAAAGTCTGAGTTTAATCTAACGCAAAAAAAAATGATATATAAAAAAACAGAAAAATTATATATGTCCGCTCAAATTTAAATTTCAAAATTTAAGCCCGAAATTCTAAAAAAATGTCTGTTCTGATTTTTCTTTGTTTAAATCTACGACGCACTTTAAAATTTTATAAAAGAAAAATATATATAAACTAACCATGTTCCAAAGTTGTCTATCCCTATAGCTTGTATTACGTTGATGCAAAATTGACAGAAAAACACGAAAAAAAAGAGGAAGAAATTGAATGAACTGTCGCTCCTGGCAAATAAAAATAAAATTTTTTAAATATTAATAATATTTTAAAAAAATTTAACTATAAAAATAGATTAAAAGAAGGGTATAAAATAAATATTAATAAATAAGGATGATTATGATATAAATTCTAGGTATTATCGGTCAGTTATTAGTACACCCAATGTTGCAAAATCGACTTATTTCCCGCGCATGATGTATTAATTTTAAAAGGGGGATTTAAATTTACAAGGTTAAATCTTTGATCAAAAGTGCAATGCAAACGTTAAATAAAAAATATGCTAAAATGGTGATTATGATTTGCAAATTAGATACAGATAGAGGGTATAAAGAACCCATCTTACCACTTCAATTTTTTTTTAATATTATATAAAATTTAAGTTTGATTCTAATGTACCGAAAATTTGCCAATGTTAGTAAAAACTTGACAATGCCGTTTTAAAATAGGTTCAAATATATAAAATGGTAGATCGATTAAATACAACGGGGGAATTATTCGTAAAATATGAAATTTTTTATATATCACCATCCGTACAAATAAAGAAGTAAGTTGATTTTAGATATACTATAAATGAATATCATATGATTGATTATTACTTACCTACAATCCAAGTTATTTTGAGTCAGTTACAGCTGGAATTAAACGATGAATTAAAAAAATTAGCCTTAAACTATTTGACCTTTCGCCATTAACCCTTTAGAGCTCGTAGTTACCTACCATATTTAAAAGAGCCCACGATTCATTGTTAAATGACTTACACGGAATATGATATTATATAGATTATATTATTGTTGGCAGAAATAATCATACCGAGTAATGATTTAAACCTACTTAGGGTGCTAATGAAATTAAACTACGAGAAATGAGTCTTTATCAAAGAAATGGAATATTTAGAATTATTCATATAGCCATTCACCATCCGCCTAAAATCTTATGAAAATTCATGGATACTCTATAACACTAGCCCTCAATAAGTATAATTTTATTTATTTATTATTTAAACCTGAAAGCCTTATAGGCGGGTCGGAACCAACACAAAAAGGAGCAGGGGGTAAACATAATGAGCCAAAGTATGGAAAGGCCGAACAAAGTCACACTTCCGCCCGTTATGAAAGAAGCCAGGCTAGCTAGCATGTTTAGGACTATAGTAAGAACGTATCCTAATATTATTTTTTTTAAATAGTATAGTTTTATCATTATAATTGGGAGAATAAATTTCTATTAGGATATTTAGATAAAACGATATTTTTTAACACTTGTGGAAGATAAAAGTTATAGACATGACGTCACTGATTCAGATGAGAATATTCCGATGTAGTACTATTAACATTAGATCATTAGCATAATGAAGTGGGGTATTAATATGTTATATGGCAAATATTTTTTTTACCTAGCCAAACATAATACAGGGTTTTGACGATCTTTTGAAATTCGAGGGGTATTTCTACTTCGATATCCTGATAGAAGCAAGGTTGAATAGGTATAAATTTGGGGAGAGGTGGCCAATTATTTAGTCGATCTAAAAATAAAGGAAAAAGAATATAATAAACTTTCGCAAATCTTGTTCCCTTTTTCCTCACATTTTCTTAGGTCCCTCTAACTATTTTATTTACATAATCTTAAATATATGTGGCAGTTTTTTTCTTTGGAATAACCACTTATCCGCAATCCTAGTCCATCAATTTTGAATCATAGAAATGTTTAAATTTCATTAGCATTTACTAGAATATTACAGTTCCCGGACATGTAAAGTAGCTTAGAGGTCTACAATAAACCTGTTTCGGGGAGGTAAAAGATCTTAATTGGGCAGGTTAGTGGACATGCGAATTTGTAATATTTTTCTGGCGAAACGAGCAAGAATTCTATTTATTAAAAATCTTTTTCTTTTCATTCCATAATATTGCATATTTTATAGGTTTAAGTAAAAAAAAATACATTAAAATAAAATAAATATAGAGCAAATCAATAATTTTTAAAACATAGGGCGGGTGGGTGTAAAAAAACCATGGGAAGATAAGCGGGTTAAAAAATTTTAAGAACAATTGGTGGGCGGGAGTTCGGGTAAGATCCGACTATTGCAGACCTCTAGCTATACTACGAATCTTCGCCGTGAACTTTTATGTGTTTATATATTTTTAAATTATCTAAATATAAACTAATTTGAGCTTAACACCTACTTGGGGAATATTTATTCCAGAAAAATGGGATCTTTTTCAAAGCGGTTTTTGGGTAATGTTACCAGCAATCTTTTTTTTATTTCCAAACAAAGGATAGTAACTTGTCAACTTAATTTTTTTTTTATAATGTAATATTTTTTTTTTAAAAAAAACAATCCAGATCCCCATTTTTTTAATCGGAAATAGAAAACAAACTGGTTTGGCTATAATAACGATTAAATTGGCGTCTTGAAATGGGGTTCGGGAGTTTTTTTTAAAAATATAATATTATATAAAATAAATTATCAGACAAGTTATGTTAGGAAGTAAAAAAAATATTGCTTGTAACATTAACCAAAAACCGCTAAAAACGTTCTGTCTGGAAATGGCCTTAAAAGTAAATTAAGATTCTGAATCATAATATAACGAATATTAGAGATCTGCAAAGTTAGGCCCGGCCCGTACGGGCTTCGGGCCGGTCTCGGTTCTAATTATATTTAAAATAATCGAGTTCGGGCCGGGTCGGCCCTAATATTTTAAATAAAATTCGGGCCGGGTCGGGTCGGACCTTGGAATTTTTTTAAAATACATCTTAATTTATCAATTTTATATTGAATTTTTTATGTAAAATAAAAATATTTGATTTTATTTATTGAAACTAAACGACATATAACATATGTCTTTTATTTTGAGTAATTATAAAAATTAATTTCTATATTTAAACAAATTCGAGCCGGGCCAAGTCAGTAAATTTTTTTTAAAAAAATTTCGGGTTCGGGCCGGCAAACTTTTTTAAAAAAATTTCGGGCCGGGCCGGGCTTGAAAAATTAGGCCCGATGCAGATCACCGAATATATTAATCATTCCAAATCGTTTTTGTAAGGTTAGATTTCTCCCCCCATCTCAAGTAGTTTGATTCAGGCTTACTATAGTCAACACTCCTCTTAATCACTTCTTTTTTTTTGAAAGTCTTAATATTTAATCTACTAAAATTTTATAGGTTCCGCTTCATATAAATTCTAAAAAGAGAAGGCGGGGGGGGGGGGGGGGTTACCTTAGTAATTATTAAACCTTTTAAATAATATATACAAATAGTACAAATGAATTATTCTTAAAACAAAATTTTAAAACTATAAACAGTTGTTAGTAATAATTCTGGGATAAATATACCCATTTATAAGCCTTAGACATCTATTTATAAAGACCTGAAGTTTCTTAGTTTGTGTTTTATTTATGTCCCAAGTGTCACCACCATATAATAAAATGGGTATAATTATAGAATTAAACATTTGAAGTCTACTCTTTACAGATATTTCTCTGGCGTTCCATAGTTTAAAATATTTATAAAAAACGAATTTGGCATGCTTTAACCTCATTTCAACCTCATATTTTATGACCTGTCATTTATATGTAACTTCCCGAAAACTCTAAACCCACTCGTCTTTGATGACTATAGAACTATTGCACTTACCTCTATGGCATCTAAAGTTTTTATGGTGTTAATAAAAAATAGTTCTTTCTTCCACTAGACACCTACTATCCAACAATATCTGTGCGTACAGACCGGGGCGGAATATCTTGCAACCAATTCTTGCATTAAAAGTTACTTTACAAAAATGTTATAGGTACAAACTACCACTTCTGTTTATCTTTGTAGATTTCCGAAAAGCTTTCGACAGTATTAAACACGAAGTATTATGGAAAATTCTGGCTGATAGTGGGATTGACCTATTATAAAAATCCTTAGAAATCATTACTGTTCTCTTTTTTCTTCTTTTAAAATCGATAACGTTCAATCTACTTCCTTCAGAATACGTAAAGGCGTTAAACAAGGATGTGTCTTGTCACCAATCCTATTTAATATAATCATGAATAAAATCATCGCCGACACTTTAGGGGCTTTTAATTTACTCAATCTATCCTCTAGGGATGATCTTTCCCTGAAACATCGCATAATCTCTTATGCTGACGATATAGTTATCACTACCAAATCATTAGAAGAATCTTGCGACATTTTGAATATACTAAAGCCATATAGTGAGAAAACTGGATTAACTATTAATCTAAGTAAAACCGTTTGCCTTCCCCGTGGGCAGATGTCGACCCAAATCGTTCCTTTGATTTGTTAGGATTAAAATTAGTACATGAATTCAAATATCTGGGAATAAATCTAGATAATAAGGGCCACATAAAAAATGAGGTTGAAATGAGGTTAAAGCATGCCAAATTCGTTTTTTATAAATATTTTAAACTATGGAACGCCAGAGAAATATCTGTAAAGAGTAGACTTCAAATGTTTAATTCTATAATTATACCCATTTTATTATATGGTGGTGACACTTGGGACATAAATAAAACACAAACTAAGAAACTTCATGTCTTTATAAATAGATGTCTAAGGATATAAATGGGTATATTTATCCCAGAATTATTACCAACAACTGTTTATGGAGACTCTCGAGACATGCTCCTGTTTCAGTTACACTAAAGAGGCGAATTCAACTTTTTGCACACATAATTAGGAACCAAGAAGACAACTTAGCATATGATGCTCTTAGTTGGCTTCCATCCTATAAGAATAAAAGATACTGCAGCTACAGATCCTATTGGTTAAATAAAACTATTTCAGATATATTGCATCTAAATATCAGCTTAACACAATTTGTCCACATAAACAATAACAAAAACTCTATTAACAAACTTCTCAAATTAAAAACTAACTTCCTTCTGGAACATTAATTATTAATTCGTATCATCTTTGGACATTCATATGACATTCCTTTTTTAGCGTATCATCTTTGGACATTCCTATGACATTCCTTTTTTTTTAGAAATGACGTCCTCAATATTTAGCTTATTTATTACATTACGTTCAGATGGTTTTAATTCTATACTTTTTATGTAAGTCTTAATTTTATCTTTTTTGTTAATGGACATAATTTATTTTATTCTTTTTGACCAAACCTTTATACTCTATACCTAGTCCATACTCCCTCTCCATTAATGTCTAATATAAATATGTACATTTTTAATCACTTTTTGGTTTTAGTCCTTTTCCTATTTTGTTTTTAATACAAGATACAATTTAATTTTCAATACAAAATTAAAGATAAGTAGTAAATTTAAATAGTGACATACTGCTAATTGATCTTCAAGATACTTGTAAAGTATAATTTTTTTTTACAAATAATTTAAAAGTAGTTTTACAGTTCTATTTTCTTTTCAGTTTTATTTTTTCTTTTTAGTTCAGGATACTGTATAAGGTAATATTTAAAATATGTTAAGTATTAAATGTGTACATTTTCTATTTTACTTTTGGTTTTAGTCTTGTTCTATTTTATTTTTAATACAAGATACAATTTAATTTAATACTAAATTAAAGATAAAATGTAGTAAATTTAATAGTGACGCACTGCTAATTTATTTTCTAGATATTTGTAAAGTATTATTAATTAAAAGTATTTTACAAATAATTTAAAAGTAATTTTATAGCTTTATTCTTTTCTTTTTTCAGTTTTATTTTCCAGTTTAATTTTAGTTCAGGATACTGTATAATATCAATTACAAGTCATAATAAAATTTAATCTATGTATATTCTATTTCCCAGTTACTCCTAAGACTTAAATTGTAAATTGTAACATTGCCAATATGACCCTTCCATAATCAAAACTTACTTAATCGGGCATGGGCTTTTATCTGTCCCTTTTACTTCCCATGGGCGTTTAAGTGAGTGGCTTTGCCACTTATGCGCACAGGTAACTGCGGTCTGCCCAAAAATCGTGGATGGTCCTCTTAATTATTTTCCCATTTTTTATCCCAGTTTGATGGGTTTTTATAAGAGAACCAAGCGTTGCTCTGTTGTATATATATAACTTTTGCTATATGTACGACGTTTAGGGCTAGTGCGCTTAATATCACGTATCACGTAATATAAATCCCACTAGGAGGTGCTCGCTTATTTATTTATATGAATTTTTAAAAAAGAATTTTCTCAAAATAAAAATGTCCCTTACCAAAGTTATTTTATTTTTCGTTTAAACTATTTATTTATTTTTAAAGTATAACCCTGAATTCGCGTAACTGTGAATACAGGAAGAGAAGCCGCCTGGGTATTTTTATTTTTCAAAGGCAAGCGAATAGATGCGATGAATAGAATTACATCGTTATAAAATTTTAACTCATATTTGTTTGTTTTTGAAAAAAATATTCCGCGATACGTCCCACATCGCTTTAGGGATCGCCTACTATAATCGAGGCCTAGGGCCATATCAGAAGCGTTATAACGTTTAAATATCCTTCAAAAAAATTGAATATTTTAAAGCGTTTGCATATTAAAAATTTCTTTCTACTTACTAGTTCGTATTAATTCCAAATAATTTATCATTTTAAATTTAATAAATGTACTTTTTTAAAAAACTATCATGTATAATTTTCAACTATATTTATAGTTTTCCATTTTTTTTAAAAAAAAGTCTATAAAACAGCTCAATATCGCAGACGCTCTTCTCTGGTATAGACTTAGCCTAACCCTGCATTCATAGTTAGCGTAAATTGGCGGCGAAATATATATATAAATATACATAAATATAGTATATTTTGCATAAGCCGCGAATTCGTGCTAAATTATAAGTGCAGGGTAAACCCTAGTTTATATTAACGCGAATTCGCGCCCGATAATACATAAATACAGCATATATTTTATTTCGCCGTGAATTCTGGCAAACTATGAAATGAGGGGTAATATATTTAAAATTTTCATTTCGAGTTTTTTTGTTAACGTTTAAAAAATTTGTTAGAAATTATTAGTATAACATACTGGCAAATCCTTGCTGTCTTTTAAGCTCGGTTTCCTTTCGTTCTAATTCGGCAGCTTTCTTTTCGAGTTCCTATAGATGAGTTTATATAATCGAATTCCGATTTTTTCAAAAAAAAAGAAAAGGTTACTTTCGTTTTCGTTATACTCTATTAAAATAACGCGGGGCGGAATGTTTTTAACAATTAACGGCAAATTTATGGAATGGGTTTGATTTTATATGACCCTATCTAATTGAATAAACACCCTCCCCCAGAGTTATAATATATTTAACCAATTCATGAACAATAATTTCGCGTTAAATTTACTTCTCAAATAAAAAATAATGTATTATGAATAATTGCACTTAGAACATTTCTATCTTAGTGGAATGTAGCTTAGGGTAAAGGCGTATAAATCTAATAAAAAATTATATTGTATAATATTTAATCGAACAATAAATATCTTCGATTAAAACAACTATCTCATTCTGCCTGGTATAAAATGGTTGCTCGCGATACTCAACAATTTGTCCAGTTGTTTTTTTTTAAATAGGGAAGAAATATTTTGGCAATAGTTCAGATAATATCTTAAAGGACGATTGTGCGTATATCGTAAAATCATACAACCCATTTGCAGCAGAGGGTGAAAATATAATTGGTTGTTCTGAGAGGATAATGGAATATGCTCGTTCTTTGATTTAGATTAACTATTTTATGGAGGTACAGTATCAGCTGACTGACCGTAAAAACTAAATTTAAGTCCAGTTGGAAATAAGATTACTATACAATTTAAAATTTCAAGACTCGAGATATGACACACTTCTATATATTGACATTATTTTGGACCACTATCCAAAGAAACAAAATCATAAAATAGGAAACATGTTTTCCCTCTTTGACACTTAACGAGCTGGCTAACTCGACTTTTTGGGTTATATAGAATTGGCCAGTGTGACCGAAACACTAATCACTTTTCAAAATTAGAGAAAAAAAGAAAAATAATTTTATAATCCTCTAGAAAAGGTGCTGACACAGCGCTGATTTCGACATCCTTGAAATAGCAAATTATATTGAAATCATTAAAATAATATTCATGAAAACAGCATAAATATTCTTAATGTATACCATAATATTTATATTGAATTGGTTAAATATAATTTAAAAAATCGCATTTGAACCAAATAAAACCTGGTCACAAATACCCATAAAAAAGCAAATAAACTTTAGTCGCTTAAATCAAAATCTTTATAAAAATATAATTTAAAAAAATTGCGATAGATGATACAAAATATTAAAAGAGTTTAAAATTAAACCTCTTGTCTTTTCTGCAATTCCCTTTGAGTTTGCATCATTTTTTGTTGAGCCAACAGCTGATCAGTCGGAATTATGTCGGCACTGACAAGCGGCCTCGCGTTATTGCTAACGTTCACGCCGGTTAGGTTACCGCTATTGGTGCTATTAGGGTTGCCGGGTAGGCCAGGCATGGTAATGCTTGTAGAAGAGTGCGTACTGGGCTGAGATGGGAGAGTTAAACTAGGCTATTAAATAATTATTATCATATATATTTTTTTCTAATTGAGCACTTTTAACAATTTGAATAAGCAATGGTTCCCAATAGGGCCCAAAAAATGATTAATTCTACTCCAATTGTTTTATGGCGCTTTCTTCATAATTATATATAATCATATTGCCGGAATAATAAAGAATAAAAATTCCTTTTTTTCATCTAAAAACTCCGCTATTTTTTTGTTTGTAATATAGATAATTATTTATCCTCACGAATAAATAATATCAGTCAAAAAAGCGATATAATTAATTACGAGTATTTTATAACCATATTTTTAAAATACAATTTTTTGCGGTTAAAAAGATATTTCTTTAAAAAAATTATACAAAAAAGATATAAATAAAATGTTAAATCTATTTTATGTTTTATCCACATAAAATCGATTTGTTCGCTTTTAAATAAACGTTGTAAGAATGAATTTTAAATGGATTAATAAAAAAGAAGTGATATTATTGAATGAATATAATTTTTCTTCGTAAAAGGGTTTTATTAGTCAGTTTAAAAACCGAATTCGAACCCAAATCTAGCTAATCCTTATGAATCGAATCCTTAAAGTATACATTATTTTTTAAAAAATTGGGAGGGGGAGGGTCATTCCATGTTAAATCAAACACCTTGGCCAACCCACTTCAATTTCGATAAAAAATTTTAGGCATGTTATACATGTTCTGATAATATCTGAAATGAAATTATAGCTCATAGCAAATATATTACCTGAAATAATGGGAATCAAAGGTATAAAAATCATCTTTTTTTTTAAATTTTTACTGTTGTTAAATGATTAGTTTTAAATATAAAAGTGAATTAGTTCGAATATTGAATCTAATATTGATAACCAAGTCAATAATTAATAATTAAAGGGGAACATCAAAAAAAATTTTATAAATATTGGTCATCTAACGTCCAGTGGAAAATTTAAAATGAATATTTCGAAATAATTATAAGCTCCAATTTTACACATTTATTTTCCTATTATTCGTTAACTATCCTTTCTAATAACTTCCTTAAAAATTCGCGCGGCAGGGTAATTGTTTTTAAAAAAAATCGCGTATAATATTTTAAAAAAATGTATAGATTATATATTAACATCTCAATGCAATTGCAATAAAAGACCTTTTTTTAATGTTTAAAATCAAAAATTAATTTTAAAAAAAAGAAGTAATATAAATATTATGAAAAAAAAATTTATAAACATTTTTAGCCATATAAAATTAATAATAATGACAAACCTTTTATTGCATTGAAACGTTCATATATAATCAATACTTTTTTTATACATTATTAGCGATATTTTAATTTTTAAATAAATATCCATCCGCGCTATTGAAGAAATTATTAGAAAAATAGTTTTTAAAAAAAATGATAGAAAATATTGGCCAATATTTTAAAAGAGTTTCAATTTTGATGTTTACCCCATAATTATCCATTATTGACCTAGCCCTTTAAAGTCTTGCGAACTAGTTTGACATCATCAACTTGCATGTTATTTTATAACCACTAAGAACGCTTGATGATTTAATTTGACATTACAATATAAATATTTTATTTAATTTTAATTTATTAATATTCAGGCAAATTATAGGCTTTTACTTGTATTTTATTACGTTTTAACTTTTCCTCGTTTTTACGTTCCGATTTTGACCAAATTATAAACGTTCCATTTAGTTTTTATAATAAACCTTCTATTACTAATGGATTATACACATAGACTGTCAATATTTATTATGATGCTAGCATTTTTATACTTAAAAAACATTATTTTTAAATTTAGGGGACTATAGATGCCAAATGGAATAATTTTTTTTTTATAAATGCATTGTAAAAATTAAAATTATACATTTTCCATCCAAGAAATATATAAATAATTTATTTAAAAATTTTATTTTACTCATTAAAAAATTTAGATTTTAAAGGGAGGGTTAGTTCAGATATTAATATCTGATTAAATATTCCTAATTTAGTAATTAACTAAATATTTAACATCATTAAAAAGAAATCCGAAAATCCCGGCCCGGATCTAGATCTATTCTTTAAAATATCTACCGGTTGGTAGCCTACTATCGGGCCAGTACCTGGTCAGGATCCCTCAATTTATGTGTAATAAATAATATCTTTTAAAATTCTTGCAAGAAACAAGGCGCCAATATATTTTATTTGAGAATATTTTTTTTCACCATTAAAAAAATATTAATTTTTTCTATATTTAAATAAATTCGGGCTGGGCCGGGATTACTTCGGGTTGGATTGTTCAAATAAAAAAAAATTATCGGGATAGGGCCGCTTGAAAAATTAGGCCTGATACAGATCACTAATCCATATTATCTCAGGTATTTTAATTTTCTAAAGAATGAGCTAAAATTTCGTTTCATACTATATATGCCCACAAATTTTTAACGAAATTGAAATGGGTCGGTCGAAGATCTTCGATTATCTTTATCATATGTCATGGGATGATCCTGGAGGAAGAAGATGGAAAAAAATTTAAAAATCGGGCCGGACTTAAAATTATAAATTATTCTAAAATAAAATTTTCTTCTTCATTATAAAAATGAAAATTAAAATAAATTAGAATATTTTTGGGATTAGGAAAAACAAATTTTGGATTTTTAATTTTATTTAACTTTGTATAAAAAAAAGCGTTTAATAATGTATATATTTTTTAATTAAAAATCTAGGGCCAGTCTATGCCATAAAAGTAGATTCATTTAAATTTGGGTTCAAGTGGAGAGGAGAATTTTAATGCCAGATTATAGAGAATTGGGAAAAGAAGAGGAACACGATTTAAAAAATTATGTAGAACATGAGCTAGTTTTGGGACATATATTTCTGAAATTATGATAAATGAAATGGAAACTTTGTAATATTCAATAATTTCCCCTAGCAATATCTTATAAACAATTAAAATTAATATCTCATCTATGTAACTACTTAGCACAATAATATTATTATTAATTTTATATAATATAATGGATATAGTACAGTGACAATGTTTGGAAATGATCAGAAAAAAATATTTTCTAATTTAACATGCTACCAGACAGATCAAAGACTAGACTGGTTTTAAATGACCTTCGGTTCAATTCTATCTTTTTTACAGTAAATTAGAATATAATTTTTTTTCAAGCCTAAATGATAAGACAATCTAACAATTGTACTAATAATAGGAATATAAAAAGTGAGCATAATATAAATACAACTTAGATATGCTAATAGTTTAATCATTTATAAGACATGTCTTTATTTTATTTATTACCCTATATATTTTATCAATAAATTATTTTTTTATAAAACAAAAACTTGTAAGTAGATAAATTAGGCTTTAAAGGGTTTCTAATAAAGATATATATAGTATGTGTCATTTAATCAGGTTGGATATTTTTAAAATCATGTTAAAAATTTGTACAAAGCAATATAAATATTTTATTTTTAAATTTTGAATAAGTTCAGAAATCCCATAATATATTTCTCACATTTTAGAAATGTATTTATACTGTTTAAAATATCATTTTATATAATAATTTCAAACATATGTTTATTTTATCAAAAAAAAATAGTAATAATTTAAATATTAAACCCACAAAATAAATATCAAATTTCAGAAATATACATGATCCAAATTTTACTAACTATAGTGTATAATTTTTTTTTATTCAGTTAGGATTTAAATTGTATATTTAATAATAATTTATATAGTTATAAATTTTTGTGAATTAATATCTTTCATCAAAAAATTTAAAGCAGTGGTTTAAGGCATTCTTGCAACTTCTACAATGGGGGGGGGCAACATTTTTATGGTGAGCTTCTGCTCTGAACTTAAAGAAATGATGTTTATGAAATATTTGAAAGTTTTATTCTAAATATAATCATCTTAAATTTATCTAAATAATATATCAAGCTTCAGATCCTAACACTCTTTATGCTTTATAAAAAACAAATATTGGCAGGATAAATAAAAAATAAACATTTTGAATGATATTTATACTTGTGTTAGCTGAGATTTTGAATCAAATGGATTAATAAAAGTATCAAAATCATTGAAGGTAGGTTTTTTTGTTGAATTAGTATCAGCCGGTTTTGGATCCTGTATGGAATAAATTATATATATAAATTATATTATATAGCCTACTGCGAATGGATTAAGATCGGAATTTTCTCCAAATGTACTAGAATCATAGTTAGACATTATATTTTTTAATAATTATGAAAAAATAATATTATCAGGTGCGGTAATCGATTATAAAAACCATGTTGATTTTATTTAATTTTAAATGCCTAGAAAAATATATTTTCCTTGTTGGGATAATTAGTAAAATACTATAATTTTGTATGTATCCAATCCACCATCCATCTTACCTAATGTATTAAATATTATAACAAAGCTCCTAATACAGATAAGAGGAGGTATAAAATTTTGAAATTTGTGGGGGTTACATGGTGTTGAGTGGAGAGGTTATACTCTTACGTAACATACAAAGTCAATATCCTATCCATTTTTCAGAGTTGTTAAAGTAGAGAATAGCGGCTACATTTCTTCTAATTATTTAATTTGTTAGCCCGCTACTTAGCTACTTTCAAAAAATATAATGAAGGTAAGTATAAACATGAAAATTTAAATATAATATCATAATTAATTATAATTTATTATAATTTTTATTATTTATTATTTAATTTTGAAATTAAAATATATTTTCGATTTGTAATTTATATTTTCATTTGTATTATAAACCTAAATCACGTGTTAATTATTTAAAATGTCATTGCCTATGGATATCCAAATCTTTGAAAGTGATTCATACAATGATATTAATGAAATGGAAGATACCAGGGAAGGAAATGTTCTTAATGTTGTAGCTGTTGAAAAAAAGAAGAAATAAATTTAATATAATATAATATATCAAATGTCAGTTATTTTCTGACAGGGGAGTGTTTCCTTGTGGATAGGAGTGAAACAAAATGATCACATGGCTTTTTTTTTGGTAAAGAACAATAAAAAGTTTCTTTGTGTGCGGTTTGGAGTGAAGAAGACATTATATTGGATGAAGACGGGATTGATCGGGAAGATTTAATATTTTTATGAAATATAATGTTATATATGGATATGACATTCTTCTATACTTATTAGCTATAATACAAGTTTTCCATTCCCTAGATTTGAAAATTTTTTTTAAATAAATATAACAACCAAAACTGGTTTCAAATATTTCCTTAAATCAACCCAGTTATAACCTCAGGAAACACCTAAAGGTAAATTGTCATATTTACATTTTATTTATTTTATAAGACTGTTCATGCCAGGCGCGTACGCAGGAATTTGGTCTGGGGGGGGGGGGCATATTAAGCATAAATTTATTAGGACCAATAACTATTTCTAGTAATTTTAAACTAATGTGAATTATTTTATAATTATATGTAAATAACCACTTAAATGACCCAAAATAGAAATTTGAATTTTTTGAGCCTTTAAAATTTATATATAAAGTATAAAAAATTTTAATGTTGGAAATATAAATTAATATACAAAAAGTTTCTTAGGAATAATTGTATTTTGTATGTTATATATTTAGAATGTAAATTCCAATCTTCGTTGGGATTCAGCTAATTTTTCAATTATCTTATCTTTGCTTGTCGTCAAATGCCTATGAATATTCAAAAGATCCAAACCTTTTAATCTACTTTCAGAATTGTACTTCTTGGTATGTTTTTCGGAGACTTGCAGGCCCGGCCCCCGGGTTTATTTTAAAACAGCCTATATTTGAAAATTAGCTATAAAAATCAAAAATAAATATAATTTATTTTTAAAAAATCCGTGTCGGGCCTGAAAATTTTATTTCAAAAAAAGCCGGGCCGGACCTAAAAATTTTTAAAAAACTCGGGCCGGGCCTTAAATTTTTTTTAAAAAATCCAGGTCGAGCCCTGTAAATGGTACCTCCAGGGCTCCGTTATTCTTCTTAAAAAAGAGAATGTTTGCTCATTAGTTTACTAATGGGATTAGTTACTAATATATATAAACCCTTTTAATATATTGAGAATATAATCTAAAATGTGTTTGAAATAATGCAGAGCATCCATAGCATTTTTTGGGACTATATCAACCATAGTTAATCTTATAAACATAGTTTTCAGCTAATAAGGCATCATAAGATACTTTAACATCTTCATGATAAAAATCCAACGAATATTTTTATTTTCTATCACCATCTGAAAAAGGTTGGGAAGGCTTTTGTGGAAGTAATATTTGCAGATTGGTAAGTGCTCATGATGAATTAAAAAGCTTTCATTTATTTGGTTTTAAATGTATCTGTATCTAAGATATACCCTTCTACTGATCCTATATTAATGTTTTAACTATGAGCTTGCCTTGCTGCAAGTCGAGGGAGACAAATATTAAACACGTATAATTCTGCTTTTGACTTAACAATAATATATATATATAATAAAATTCTTCATCAACATTAGCTCTAATTTCCATGAATTCTAATAAAATGCTCTCCGCTATTCTCATCTTCTTAATCAAGTCAATTTTATGTTTTTGAAAATACATAAAATAATTGTATAATTAAATAATTATTAGCATTGAATCCAATAATTTTCTAGGAAATATTTCTTTCAGGCCATTGTGATATTTCAGTAATAGCAAATACGGCTCTTCTAACTCCATAAAAGCTGTTACTGCTTTATGGCGGAGACTCTATCTCGTTGGACAAGGTTGCAATTTTTTCTCCCTGTTGGACAATTTCAGAAATAATTATTATTTGACTAGCAATTTGAAAATGGTAGATAAATATTACGCCACTAAAAATTTAAAAATTATAAGTAAATATTAGGCCGGAAAACTTGAAAAAATTAATTGATAAAATAACTTAGTTGATGAATGTGGTAATAAATGTAATTAAATATATATTTAATATGAGATAGGAATAAAAACAAATATAAATTAATATAAACAATAATATTTTTGAAAAATATATCCAGCATCTATAATTTTTGGCTTGTGGAGGGGGTATTTGTCCCCCTCCCCCCCCCCCGTTTTCTACGACCCTGGTTCATGCCAATAGTTTTAAGGAAATAGAGAAACATCTAAATAATTTTGGTATAGGCGACTCTACATCTAAAAAGACTAATTCGATTTTATATCCTAAAACTAAATACAATTTATTTAAAGTTAATACTCTTTTCCCCACTACAAATTGAATTCGGCATGATAACGTAGTAGGGGTTTTGAAACTCTTTTTCTAAGAGTTGTATTTCCATTATGTTCTGCATCGTCCAAATACTCCGTCATTCTTAGCTTGAGGATGTGCATCCCTCAGTTGGTCAGCATGCTTGTTTTTACAATACCCTCAAACTCAACACCATACAGTATCGTACTTTTCTTTTGAACCCCTGTCCCTTCATGCTCCCCCACAGTCCTTTTGTTTTCTATCCACACCTTTTGATTTTTAAATTCACAGGGCTCAACGTACCTATCTTTATTATATTTTTGTTTTCATAATGCGTTTTCAGTCCTTTCTCTCGTAGATAGTTTCCAGTTATCTAACGTCGTCTTAAGCAACCTTCCAAACATCATTTTGGCACGAAATTTACATGTAGTTGATTTAGAGTATTTCAGTGAGTAATTACAATATAAACTAAATTTAACTGGTCCGGAGTTCCACATCTCCTTTCAGCAAAGAAACGCGTCTTTATCGTTAGCATATAACGCTAAGCTAAACCGTTTGATTTTGGGCTATTAGACGCCGATCTATAATGTTTTATGTTGTTTTTAAAAAGAAACATTTTCATTCAGATCAGGTAAACTGAGTACCGTTATCTGATGCAATGTAACTAGAAAATCCAAATCTAGTAATATAATTACTCAGATTCTTTATTACACTCGCCGAATTAATATGTGTTCTAATTGCAACATCAACATATTTGGTGAAGGCGTCTATGCAAATAAACCAATACTTTTCAGATACGGGGCCTGTCAAATAAATGTGTATTCGTTAAGTCCGATAGTATTGCTACACTTGTATAACAGCATTTCTCTGGCTTCCGGTCTTCCTTCATGGCAAATCCTGCAATATTTAACGAAATCTTCAACATCACGATCAAGATTTCCCCAAAAAACATAGTATCTGAATAATTATTTCATATCCAAACTCTTCTATAATGTCCTTGATGAATAACATTCAAAAAGATTCTTATTTAGATTATCAGGGTAAATAATCCTTCATTTACTTCGTTAGGATTTATAAATGTTAATTTAAAATTTACTTAAAAACTTTTTTAGGATATAATAAGCAAGATTCCCAATTTTTTTTAACAATTTTTATTTTAGCGATTTAGAGCGAAAACTTTATTTCGCTTTTTCTTTTATTTGCCTTTTTTATCCATTTTTCTCTTACCTTTCCATCCTATTTTCTATCCCTTACACATTTTCATTCCTTTTTTACTTTCCCTTTATCTTTCTCTACCTCCCCTTTCTCTTTTCCCTTTCCCTTTCCCTCTTTTATTTCTTTTACATTCCTTCCCTTCTCCTTTTCAGCTTCCTTTTTTTTACCTTTTTCTTCCGTTCCCTCTTTCTGTTCATTTACCTTCCTTTCCTTATAAATATTTTAGGATTTAAAAAAAATTCTTAAAAATCCTACCTTTTTAAAACTCGCACCTACCATTATTCTATTTTATTCCTACAGCTTATTTTGCAATATTCGTTAATTTATATGACCATATATATATTAATATTTTAATTAGATTCTATATCTGTTCGCAATGATCCTATTTAAGTTTCCCAACCCGATCAATATTTCTTTTTATCCATACTAGATTATTTTGTATAATTCACTAAAAAACTATATATGTTTAATCAGATCTAGATAACATTACATAGTATTATATTTTTATAATGTAAATAAATTATATGTATTTCAAAATCCTACCTTTTAAGCTGATCATTCTGCCTCTTCTAACATTATTCCTGCTGATCAGCCCCATACCTATATTATATTTTTACTTTGAATCTGATATGTCATGATTTGTGATCCATCGCCATTTGTTACTAACTGATTCATGGAATTTCTGATTCCGGGCCATTTGTGATTCTCAGACTACACTCTCCCCCCCGAAGGCCGGGCTAGGACATAGCCCTAGTTTAAGATAATATAAGTAAACATTATTCTCTCTAAAATTTCAACATTTTTAATACCAAAATACTGATAACTCAGGATTTTTTCTCAGAAGAAATTAATTAGGTAAAAAAAATATATAGATTGTTGGATTTGATTTGAATGAAAGAGTATA